CACCTCCCCTCCTCGCCTTGCGGGCTGCCTTGCTTTTCCGTCCTCCTCGGGTCTCCCGTCCCCACGGGAGCGCAGGGCAGCCAGGCTGCCGCCGTAGCCCCCCCGCAGCCCCTGCCGGCCGCCTTCGCCTTCCCGCCGTGAGGAATATCGCCCCACGGCAAGTCTGGCTTCCTTCGGCATGAAAAATATGTCACCACTTGATGTCAGCACAGGACTTTGCAGAACCCAGCACAAAAGTGCTGATCTACAGATTATTATTTAAAAAACAAAACAAAACAAAACAAAAAACAAAAAAAAAAGCCCAAAAAACCAAAAAACCAAGCCGTTTACATTTCGCAAACCTGTGCCAATTAAGGAACTGTGGTAGGTAGAACATAATTATTAAAATTAGGTTAATAATAACAACACAGAGCTACAGAAGCTGTATTCTCATCAGACCTTAGTTAACCCATTCGTTTTTTCTTGCTGTTTTTTTTTTACAAAGTATTTCTTGACTGAGCAGCTGTGTCCTTGGGGATGTGCCGCGGTGTTCTCAGTGCATTATGGTACTGACCGGGCTTTTTCTGTATTGAAATTAGGGCAACAGGCTTTATGTTTTAATTTTCCTACTACAATGGCAAATTGCACAAGGAGAGGATTTTAGAAGGGCAGTCCTTTCCTCACGTCTTTCTTTATGAAGAGTTACTGGGATTTCTTTTTCCATTCCTTTAATTATTGCAGCGAGCACATGGAGACGTGCTTCCTCAAGGAGTCCCACACCCCGAAGCCCCGGTTAAGGCTTGAAGCGTTACTCTTTGCTGCGTGAAACCTGCACATGGCACCAGATGGGAAATCTGCAGTTCCTCAAGATGGAGTAACCGAGTTGGTCGGTCCTGTTTTAACAACTGGTTCCCATAGAAGTCCTCCCTGCCAGCAGCACAGGGAGCCAAGGAAAGTGGGTGTGCAGACCAGCTGCCTGGGCAGTGATGGGGCAGTGATGGGGACATGCCCATGCCACGCACCTCATGCTCCTCACCGGCCATCAGCCATCAGCCCTGATTCAGCGAGGGCAGCCGGGGACAGCTGTCCTGAGTAACTCTGTCACTGTTGCATGCTTTTGGCAAACGCACATCTCAGCTAGCGAAAGGGAAGAGCAATCATTTTCCAGAAAATGTCGCCCCCGCACTAAGCAAATAACAAAAGCTGATGTCTGGGTGGCAGCCATGTTTGTCCCGGGGATTGTCCTCCTGACGAGTGGCACGTGGGCACTGCAGTTATTTTTGTGTGGTGGACACTGAAGATGGTTCAAGGTGAAGGGGACTGTGGTGCACCTGCCCCGTGGCAGGAGGT